GCACATACGACCACAGGGTGTGGAAAATAGGGCTTCCCGTCCGCTCAGCCGTACTCAAGCCACACGCCGGGAGGTTAGTAGTTGGGTGGGTGACCACCAGCGAATCCCTTCTGTTGTATGTTTTTTTATGGATACCTTGCCATATCCCCATCATCCTCCGTCTCCTCGGAGAGAGCCCACTGCACCCGCACATACCGGCCACCGTGTTCTAGTTCCTAATCAGATGCCCTAGACCCTGAATGGCTTCAGAATTGAATGAACGTTATTTGTTGATTATATAGAATTCTGAGAATTCTGAGATGAGAGAAAAGGGGTTAATCTGGTCTACTGGCAGCATAGGAGGGCTCGACCGGCTTCTACATACTCATCAATGACTGTACGACGAACCACAAAACTCATTTGAGTTAGTTCATCTGCTAATAGTTGCGATGAGGCACTGGTGAGCCTGGCTTGGCCCCAGTATCACTATCCACTGAGTGGGTTGAAACCAGTACTAGTACTAGGTAGTGATTAGCTATGTGAGCGCTCGCCGATGGTCTTATGTAACTCCATCCAAGAAAAACGACAAAAAACTTATAATATCCTTCTCAACCCCACACTTTCGACTCTGCTGTCCCTCCTTATACCTAGTCTATACACTATCCTCCCTTTGACAAACCCACCAAGCCCGAACCTCCACTATGGTGGACAACTTGTTGAATGCGCACGCGCCACTGCGCATCGGAACGCGACGCTCCAACCTGGCTGTCGTCCAGGCAGAGGGAATCCGCGACAGCCTGCAGAAGATTGCACCAGACCGATCCTACCAGATTGAGACCCTTCATACACTTGGGGATCGAGACCAGTCAACGGCACTCTATAATTTCGGCGATAAGAGTCTTTGGACAACTGAGTTGGAAGAAAAGCTCACATCGGGTCAATTGGATGTTATTGTCCACTGTTTGAAAGGTAAATCCCCCCACGCCCCATTTTCCCCTTTCACCACAAACAGAAAAAGATTGATGGTGTGCTCCAAGCCCTCACACTGCTCGTTGTTAACGTCCAATTCATAATAGATATGCCGACCAAGCTGCCCGATTCCTGTGAACTGGCCGCGATTCCGCAGCGGGACGATCCGCGCGACGCCCTGATCGTCAAGGCGGGACTGCCCTACACCAGCCTCCAGACGCTGCCCGAAAGGCGCCGTCGTGGGTACGTCGTCGGTGCGGCGCTCCGCTCAATTGCGCCGGCTGTAGCCCCAGCTGCGCTTTGCCAACCTGCGCGGCAATGTGGAGACTCGTTTGGCCAAAGTCGATGACCCTGCTAGCGAGTATACCTGCATGGTGATGTCGGCGGCCTGGCTGGAGCGCATCGGCCTTCAGTCTCGCATCAGCCAGTACCTGGGCTCCAAGGATGGGGGCATCTTCCACGCCGTCGGGCAGGGGGCGCTGGGCTTGGAAATCCGCAGGGGCGATGCGCATATGCAGGAGCTGCTCAACCGGCTTGCGGACACCAAGTCCACGCTGGCTTGTCTGGCCGAGCGGTCGCTCATGAGGACGCTGGAAGGCGGATGCAGTGTCCCCATCGGCGTCGAGACGGAATGGGTTCAACCAGACCAACTGCGTATCAGTGCCATCGTGGTCAGTCTGGATGGCTCCAAGAGCGTTGAGGATACCCTCGAGGCGAGAATCGCAACCACCTGCGAAGCGGAAGTTCTCGCCCAGAACTTGGCGGCCAGACTGGCCCAGGCCGGTGCAGGGGCCATCCTAAATGATATCAACGCCAACCGACCAGCTAAGGACTGACGGAATGGGACTACTCAAATCACCATGTAGTTATACCATATCTGATGATCCTTCTTGGAGTTAGGAGTTGACACTAGCACCAGAGCCTCGGATAGCTGACACCCTCAGTATTACCCTATTAATCAACCCCCTAGTCCCCCAGAAAATAAAAATCAATTCAATCACAGTCTGGACAGCCCCTTCGTCTCCCCAGGCGCATGGTACTCAGGGACCCTCATCTCCAACGCCTCGCCTCGATACCCCAAATCCTCCGCCGTCAACACGGCACATTTCTCTCCAATCAACAGCGCCGTCTGAATTGACCGTTAGTTCTTAGCGCACGCAGAAGAAGGGGACGAGGAGGAGAAAGCAAGGCGTACACTATAGGTATTACATCCGACGTTATCGGGACAAATCGACAGGTCGGCGACCTTGAGACCCTGGACGCCGTGGACGTTCAGTCGCTCGTCGACGACGCCGCCCTGGGGCGCGATGGAGTTGCCGGCGCGCGGGGCCATGCTGCAGGTTCCGAGGGAGTGCCATGTTGTTTCGACGTGGCGTTGGACTTGTGAAGTTTCTGTGTTAGTGATGGTTCCAGTCCGGGGGATGGTGAAGGGTGCAACGATAGAGATAAGTGAAGAGAAGGAAGAAGGAAAGGGAATATTCCAGACGTACCCCATTTCTCGATATGCTCGATATCCTTCTTTGTATACTTGATCTCTTCTCGAGTGTCCTGTTTGTTCGAGCTGAGGAAGGTGGCCGTGGGCGAGGAGCCGGGTTCCAGGGGGGAAGACCAGGAGCCTGTTGTTTCCCATCTCTGTATCAGTATAGCTTTACTTGATTATTCTCGGGAGATAAGGGTGGGGATGTGTTACCGTGTTGGATTCCAGCGCTGAGGTGATTGGTGCCAGCGTAGGCCTTGGTTGTGGCGAGATCGAGATCGAACGCGCGGGCGGGCGAGTCGTACGAGAAGTGCGGGTGCATGCCGGTGACTTCGCCGGCATAGGCGCTCATGCGGCGCGCAGTCTCGCGGGACTTGATGTAGCCCCAGACCATGGGCGCCATGTCGCGTTTGTCGTTCATGAAGCCCGCGTCGAAGTCGGGGCTTTCGTAGGGGTCGGGGGACTGAATGTGCGTGAAGCCGCGGGAGAAGGGATATTCCTGGTTTGGATGGTGAGCGTGAAGAGTGCTGGGTAGGGTTATCGAAGATAGTTACCAGGAAATGGAACATAGTGAAGAACTTGCCAGGAGGCATGAGCATGTGGTCGCCGAACCAGCTGGAAGGTTTATTAGGTCACAGATCCACGAGGGAAGAATGGGGGTGACTTACCCGGCGATGACGGAGTAGTGCATCACAGGCTTGTCGGGCTTGTTCTTGAAGTAACTCTCCCAGCCCTTGTAGAAGTCATTGGTCGGCCAGGTCTTCATCTCCTCCAGTTCCTTGGGGGTGGGTCTGATCTTCACGCCAGCTTCGATGCCGTTCGTCGCCAAGGGCCCGGTCCCTTTGATGTTCCATTCTTCGAAGACCTTCTTTTGGACTTCGGAGTCTCCGCGAACGAAATCATCAAAGGACTCGACGTCAGGCTTCGCTCTGTAGACAGAGAATGTCAGGTAGTGGTCTTGGAAATTGCGGCCAACACCCGGTAGGTTCACCAGGGGCTCCACGCCAGCCCGTCGAAGCTTCTCGGGGTCACCGACTCCCGATCTTTGGAGAATGAGGGGAGAGCTGAGGGTGCCGCCACAGACTATGATCTGCTTGCGGGCTTTGAAGATTCTCCGTGGTGGGTTGTGGCCTGCCAGGGGCTTTGTCGGGACAGTCGCGACTCCCACTGCGCGGCCGTTCTCGATGATAACCTTGTCAATCTTGGTGTTGCATTTGAGGTGCAGGTTCGAGTATTGGGATCGAGTACTGTGGACGTATGCGTGGGCAGAGTCGCTGCGCCGTCCTGATGGTGTAACGCCATTAGCACTTGAATCAATGAATCAAAGAAGTGAGAGCTCGTACCAGTATCACGGTTGATCCATTTCAGCCATTGTTCAGCTCCATGGCTTTACAACCAAAGTCAGTACAGATTCAAGGTACAGGGAGCCTGGCCACTGACCCAGTCTTCAGATCCTGCAAGTCATCTGTGATAGGGATATCCTGGGACTCTGCAGCTCGGAGGAAGTCCTGCATGATCGGATAGGTATAATTTCCAAATGAGACCTTGATCGGTCCTTCGAAGCCATGAAGGTCCCGGTTGTTGCAAGCACGCTGGTATGTCTCGTGCTTCTTCATCAAGGGCAGGAGTTCATCGGTCTTCCAGCCCTCCGACTCCCAGTCATCATAGTCGGAAGCAGATGCGCGAGTATACATCTAACGGTCATCAGCATGAAGTGCGACAATCATCGCATGAAAATAAGAATACCATAAAGTTAATCGAGCTACCTCCTCCAAGAACATGAGCGCAAGGCACCACGGCGCGACGTCCGTCGAGCCACTCTGAGGGCCGCGAATAGTAAAAAGACGCGGTCTTGGAATCAAGCTTCATGTTCCGAGGATAGATTCCCGGGCGGTAAACCCTGAAATACGGTTGGTAGGGGTCAGACAGAGATTGTTGTGATCTCTTACCATGGGTTATTCAAATTATCCTCGCCTGCTTCGATCAGCAGGACCTGGAGGTTGTGGTCGAGATTGGCGAGGCGGCCGGCCACCACGCACCCGGTGCTTCCTCCACCACAGACAATGATATCATATTCATCTGGGATGGTCATCGCTGCGATCCAATGCAGTGTCTTCTGGTAGGATTTTTCTGTGGGAGATGGATGAAGATGAGAATCAATCCTGAGATGCCATGGATGATCAACGACTTTAAATAGTTCTGGCCCCGCCTCAAAGGAGGTCTATGAACACATCAAGACCAGATCTGATAGGCAAGAGTTCTACGAGAGACGAAGTCTGTCTCCGCACAAGAAGTCGAATTCCCCGCATATGTGAATCCTTGAGCTTTTACTATCAGACCTGGCATTGGTGCCCCGTAGCTATCGATATGCAACCCGAGTCAAGACCATGCTATAATGGAGGGTGATTATCAGCTTCAATGTCCCTTTTGAGAACGGGTAGGGTATCTGGTAGAAAACAAAGAGCTTCCCCGCATATAGAGAGGGGGCGATGCATTCATGATGCAGTATGTGGTCCGGGATACGAATAGGCAATAATATGGTACATTATGAAACCAGTAACTGTCACACCTAGATTATCTAAGACGCTCCGGGGAACACTATCCATATTTCAGTTGATGGTGAATCGCAAAAGCAGGCGAAAGCTGGAGAGAGCATAAGGCCGAGGCCGGCGATCGAATCGGATAGCCTGTGAACGGTACTTCGACCAGCAATGGTCCATTGCGTCTCTCTTGCAACCAAATCGAACATATCGTTAAGCTCATGATTCAAGATGTCGTCAGCTCGTAGCAGGTGCTACCCCAGCCAGGCAGTCATGGAGGGTTTCAAGGCAGTAGCCGATGATATGCCGAAAAGATTGGCACGGTGGATTTTCCGGGGAGCAGTGGACGGAAAAATAGCAGCGGAAGGACTAGTGCGGATCAATCCCTGACGATAATGGGGCTTTTATGCGGAGCTCGTGTTATGAATTGCTTGAGCTGGCGGATGATATCGAAGTTCCAGACGCCCGAAGTGTGAAAGTCGTGCGGGGATCGCCAGAACCAGAGCTTTTCCCCGCCCCAGGGCTGCGATGCATCGCCACCGTCAGTTGCTCGGCGCCAATCAATGACCCCAATGGCCACAAATATAGAGCGCTGCTATTATGGTACAGGATCCGCACTGTTAGATATGGTCCCTGCTCGCTCTCTCATTCAAGGCCGAATATGTTCCAATGCACAGGAGCGGAGACCCCAATCTTGACAACCCATTTTTGGAGACACCAAGCAGCAGCTAGGTACACAGAAGTACCATCCCGATACATCCGGCCGAATCAGTGCGCGGCGAATATCCTGGCCGAATGCGCTTTCAAAGTGATCTAACCCCTTGGAAACGATGCTATTACCGCGCGTGCTGCTGCGCCAGCTGGCGTCTCTGCTCCAGGATTTGCATCCGTAAACCCTCTGCAGCCAACTCCACTTCAAGGATCGCGCCCACTCCCCGTTTCCAAGTTTCCTCCAATCCTTCCAGCTCTCCTTTGTTGGCTTCCTGGGCCATCTTCCTCTCCTTATTGACCGACTCCGCAGCCTCCTTGGTCTCGGCCAGTTCTTTCTCCAGGCCGCGTAGGATGTCCTCCAACTGCGAGTTGCCAATGAGCCACGCGTTCTTTCCATTCTCCTCCAATAGCGCCAGGTTGTCGTGTCTCATCGACAGGTGAGAACTAGCCGTGTAGGCCTTCTGTAACGTCCGGCGCCACTCTTCGAGATTGGGCGATCCGTCTGAAGCTCTGGCGGGCGGTTCGGGGGCCTCGTAGCGCGATAGGTCAATTCCACCAGTCAAGGGCAATCCAGATGCCTTGCGATCCACCTCCTGCTGCATGAGGGGGGAAAACTGGGGTTCGGGGCAACCGGGGATGGACGGGTGGAGAGTGGTCTGAGAGTCAGCAGAAAGCTCTGCGGTGATAAGCCTCTCCGCAGCTGCGCGGGCAGAAGTGGAAGGCTCTGCTTCAATGTCTGTATAGAAGATGCACGCGTCAGAAGGAGAATTCTCTGGAGCTGTGAAGCAACCTACATGGCAGGGAGTCGTGCGATTCGTTGATGAGAGGCATTTTGATGGAAGATTCCCAACGCTTGCCAGCAATTACAACTTGTGTTTGTGCGAGTATTGTAGCACTTGTAGGCAAAGACAGATTCAGATAACCCAATATCCAGGTTGCTTTCGATTGACGATTTGCCGGAGCTTTGGCTAAGCACGAGGGCGGTAAGAGTGCTTCTATGACTAATCGGGTTTCTGCCCAGTCCGAACCAAGCCTTTCCCCTTTCGGCAATTTATGTCATCCTCAAATATAGACATTGAAGGCCACGGGCATGCCGTTACACATCGCTCATCATCATCATTGCTCACCAATAATAAGCCGGCTCATCTAAGGCCAGTAATAGAACTCGCCTGGCAGCCTCTATTCCATGCAGATCCCATTTCCGTGGTGCGGTGCGGTCCATCCATTCAGACCAATCGCCCCAGGAAGCCGACCGGAGGATTTGGGCGTATTCCCAATACTCGGGATACCAGCCCGCATGTTCCCAGTCCAGTATGCCTGTGATTTTGTTCTCTTCGTCAATCATTATATTCCGAGGCGCGATGTCGGCGTGGGTGAAAACAGTACGGTCGGATCGTGGCAGCATCTCTGAGAGTTCATATTCATACTGATAGCCTCCAAAGTGCACGTATCGCTCATGGACTCGAGCGCGCAGCTCCGCATCACTTCTCAGAGCGCGAGGAGGGTCTTGCAGGTCCTTGAAAATATAATCACGGGGAGCAGAGCCATCTACTCCGCATCGAACAAAGCCATCAAGCTCTGGTGGCCGCGGGATAGCCTGAACCTTGGCGATTAGATTCCACGTTTGGCGGCAGACGGACTCTTTGCTTCGTTCATCCAACATATCCCATCTTGTATCGAGGGAGACTCCTGGTACGATGCTCATTTCAATCCTGCCATAATATGCATTAAATGTGGTGTGTATCACATGTGAGATAGGAACAGAGGTATGGCGAGACACGAGCCGCATCGATTCGACTTCGGCAGGTCCAATGCCGGAACCAGCCTTAGAGACATACGATAGGTCATGCAGGAGTACAGTGTGACCCCATGTAGGCTTGCTCAGCACAGTGAGTATCTCTTCACTCGGACTGAGGGCCAAGATATCTGCAATTGAGGGGTTTGGACAGGGAACCAGGGCCTTTCCTCTCCGCCTGTAATGGCGCCCAACCCGGGGTTTAAGCATGTTGAAGGCTGCCAGAAAGTTCAACAGCCAAAGGTGTGTAAGAGATGACGATAAAGAGTTCTTCAATGGACCAAGTAGATGTAAGAAACAATTGGAATGGTGATGGGATGGGTGGGCAGCTGTCATCATGAAACCAACCACCGACAATCCATTCCGCTAAGCGGAAATATGGTGACACTTATCACACAACAAAGCCGAGCGAAGTGAATTTTGGGTTCAAATTCCACCTCCTGATCTATTTTCACTTTATCTTGTTCGGCTCGTTTCAAAAGTATACAAGTCTGGCTCCTGTTCATTCAGCATCAATCAGTATTAACTCACGTATCTGTGGCTTTATGAATATTCTTGATTCAAAAAACCGAACTCTTCGTCTGAGATATGATAGACTAACCGGTCTTAAAATAACCATCATGGTTAGGCCAAGGGAGGTGTGGCTTGTTAGTAATAACTACATCAAGAGACAGTCAATACAACAGCAATGATTTGAGCAAGTTGGAGAAGATGTACTGTCTATACAACTGGGTCCCTTTCCGACTCTCTGTAGTCCTGAGAACAAGATCTCAGAGAGCTGTCACATTGGTTTCTGTGCTGTACACAGAAAAAACTAGCCCGCATCCATAACAATATTGAGCGAGACACCAGATAAGTAACATCTTAGCCAAGTCTGCTATTATTACGACCTCCTCTGGACCGATCTGGATAAAATCTGTATCGATAGGCTGCCCAGACTATGCAATAGGTTATAGTGGTTAAGCGCGTAGTAAAGCACGGAGTTCCCCAAGCCATAGCTGATTCTGATTCTTAGTAAATGAGACATTCAATCCAAGCTGCTCAAGTGTTGGTGAAGCTAGTCAAAGGGGAATCATGTGTCTAGCAAGAGATTTAAGATGGCAAGAGCAACCCGTTTGACTATATTCACGACTGGTCCCAAACTCTCACACTTTACCATAACTTCACCTCTTCCCCAGTTGAGAGGGCTGAAAGGGTACTCCGCGAACTCAGCTTTAGGTCGGTGTTCAGCCGTAAGAAGACGCTCGGACGGACATTGTTCATCTCCTATAGACTTGGCATCAACGATCTGTCTCAATCTGCCCCGTCTGTCCCAGTTATAAGAATATAATTGCCATGGGATCATGCTACAAAAGTGACACTACTCAATGGATAGGTATAAAATGCTGACCCCGCATTAACACCTGATATCAGGGTACTTTCATTATTCCCTTCACCCACGAACGCCCAGGTGCTTCCAAAAGAAACGGCAATTATGTCCACCCCTGGCCACGTCAGAACAACGCACCCTCAGGACTCAACCCATGGCAGACCACATCAGTCCAGTTAAGACCAACACAGAACAGCTGAGCGATCAATCATATGTCGGCGGAAGGTCACAACAGGGATAATATGAATTCGAGACACACCCGGCACAATATGCCTGTCAGTTTCATAGACCGGGGTTAAGAGCACATGAGCGGGCTGAGAAAGGCGCCGCAGACGATAAAGACGTATCTGAATCTGCGCTGGTACCCCTACAATCATCCATTGGAGAGGTTGACAGATTCAGGTAAGTCAGAGGCTCGGCTGGTGTTGGCGGCGGCGGGTCAATTGCTGAGGAGCCGCGAGGCATTATCAGGGAGGTTTCTCTCGAGCTGGAGTTGAGTTGTGTGTTCTTGATGTTTGTCTTGAGGAAGCTGCATGATCCCAATAAATCTAACATAACTATCTACCATATACATAGAATGCCAACTGACAAATCATTACCACCCGGGTTGATCAAAAAAACAGGAAAGAGCACGCACATAGTACAAGCAATTGCGAGGTCCAGGATATAATAACCTAATCAAGAATGCGCCAAGTGATGAGAATTGAGCAGGAAAATCAAGGATTGTAAGTGGTATCAAAAAGCTCGAGCAATCTCGAGGTGTGCCATGGTCACAGATGTAGACGGACATCCCCAGGCTAGTTATGCCTAACGAAGTAGAGATTGTAACAAAAAGAGAGAGAAAAAGAGATCAAGAAAAAAAACCAAGATCGCCCGCCCGTTAGATTCCGTGAACGCCGTGTCTGCGTAGACGCATACTCCCTTGCATGCTCTATTTGTTCGAGGCCGTCCAGGATTATGAATTCAGAAGAGCCGCTTGACATCGACAATCTCGGCATTCCCAGGGCGGTCCCGTTCCATGTGGAACCACCATTCTCGTCCGTTTCGGTGACTGTAATTCCAAGACCCGGTGCAAGCATCCCGGTCCCAGGGAAGTGCTGCTGTTGACATCGGCGTGGAGGGGGTTATAGGCGTATTCGGACTTGTACCCAGTGCGGAACGGCTTCCTATGCTTCCCCATCCAAATCGTGAGGTAGTCGTCGATGTTGGAGACGGGGGCTCTTCAGCAAGTGGCTTCGGGTGTCCCTTGGCTCCGAAGCAGTTCGCTCCGACTCCAGCAGCATATGTCAGAGATTGGTTGCAGGCATGCACGTTTTTCCACGAAATCAAGCCCCCATCTCCATCTTGTCCCGGTATATCTGGTCGAAGAACGAACCGCGGGATCGATACGTCCTGCGCACTAGTCCGGGAACCAATTCTTCCCATGAAGGCCGGCATATGGAAGTCGAACACAACAACCGGTCCCTCGTGCTCTTCTGAACAAAGATCGTGATTGTGTTGCTCGCGCCCTTCGCCACCAATGTCAAACTCATCCATGCCAAGATCGGATTCGTCGTCGGAAGATTCGTCTTCTAAAGCGTTGTCGGGTATATAGGAATCCGAGTGGTCGGTGACGAGAAATCGCATCCCGTTTTCCGTATCCTTAGCAGCCATATCAATGAATGTTTGGGCGCGAATCCGAGCAGAGGTCAAATTGTTTCCTGCGGGCAATGCCATCGGTCGAGTGGTGACTGAACCATGAGAGCTGCGGGGAAGACTGTAACGATCAGGCTTGAGCAGCGCTTGTCCACGTGGCATGGGCTGACATACAGCCTGTAAAACTCCAGGAGGCTCTATGTCAGAGGGTGCACGCAAAGCCTCGAGACGGGGAAACCCGGTAGCAAGAATGCTTTGAGCAAGATGTGAATTTGGCGATCCCGTGTGCCGGGGCGGTTTAATAAACGGGACATAATCGAGTCTGCCCAGGGCAGCACCAGAATTGGGGCCAGTCACATCCCAATGAAGATATTTGAGACTTGAAGAGGCGAGAAGCGGTTGAAAGACGATGCCCTCTTCATTTATTGTTGGACATTTATTGCTCTGAACGAATGTAAAGCGCTCGAGTTGATTGAGAGATGCCAGCATTTTCGAAATTACCAGGAGCGAATCAACATTCTGTTCGATAAGAGCGAGAGTTTTGAGAGAGCTGGACTCGGGCTGCGAAGCGTATTGGCAGAGGCCCGCATCGGTGACACCCGGGAGGTTTTCCAGGCGGAGCGACTCCAGCGGTGGTAAACACTGCAACGTGCTGTCGGCGAAGGCGTCTGCGTCGAAGTTGGAAATGCAAAGGTTTCGTAATGAAGGTAATTGACTGAACATGCGGAGAAAAATGCTTGGCTCGAGCGAGTTGTTCTCATTTAGACCGTAGAGCATAAGGGTTTCCAAGGAAGTCCACTGCGCGTGGTAATCGAGGAACTCGAACATCTGTGAAGGGCCCAAGCTCCAGGGGCAATACGTACTCCGGGGCGATTCCTCGGTGATTGCCGGGGCTTCACCCAGAATCCAAGTATGCTCCTTTAGCTTTCGTCGAGTTGACAACGCATGGGTTAGACGATCAAATTCGTGGTTGTAGGGAATGGTCAGACCTAATAATCGTTCCAGGTTCGGGCACACCATGACCACGGATGCAACCAAGTCTCGGTATTCTTGCCATTGGGTACTGTGTCTGCTTGTTGTGAACAGCAAATCCAGTTGGGGTACTCGAAGCTCAAGGACAAGATTGGCCAGCAATTTCCTCTCCCGGAGGGTTCGCCGTAATAACTGGAGTCGACTGCCCCGCTTCAGTCGGTATTTCTTCAACTGATTCGGTGAATCATTGCCAATGATGTGTATACGGTTATACCTAAGATGAAAAGGTGGGTCAGACTAATTGCTATCGGCATGAATATGGTGTACCACTCACAGTCTTGCTCTGACTGCCTTCTCCCAGGGCCGGCAGGTCAGAGAGAGAGCATGCAAGTCGCGCTGAAAGCATGTTAAGCAGCCATTCTGGTTTGGGCCGGTATGTAAGAAGTATAGTTGTTCCAAGATCGCATCGTACACCTCCTGGGGCAACCGTTTGAAGACTGATTCCAAGATCTTATCCAGAGACGCGGCGGAATCACACAGGCGGGGCAGTGAGGCTGAGAAGACGGGGGAGGAAGAGTATTCTGTGGGAGCGGTAGAGACACTGTAATTGCTTTTGAATGAAGAGACTGATGATGTGCGAGATGAGACCGGCTGCACCGTTACGGCATATACCGAATCCTTGTAATCTGAAATGATCTGGCTTTGATGAGGAATCGGACTGTAGGACACAGTCCCGCTGGAAGGTCTACTGGCGACAACGTTCATTTTGAAGATCGGTGCTGCATTAGACAGTCGATTGTAGAACAGTGCACAAAGATGGGCTTTACGCAGGTAAAGAGAGCGTGTGCGTTGGTGCGTGCGCAATGACCGTTGTAGACAGTGAGAGAAAGGGGTGTTCCGATACTGAAGAGTGGGGAACCGATAGACCGAAGAGAACGACAGTGGTATGTATATACAAAATTGAAGTGCTTAAGGTACACTGACCAAGTATGTGCAAAAGATTGAATATAGGTGCAATAAAGAGAAGGACAGGACAGACCAGATATGGTCTTGTAACAAGATTGCTACCGACGATGGTCGCAGTCTAAAAGACAAGGATTTGAAGGAAGGTTATGGAAAGGAAAAAAGAAAAGAAATGGAGCACGACTATTTTAGGAGAAGGAGGGGGAACAGCGTGGGAGATGTGGGCAACAAAACTTATCGGAAACGCCAATAGGCCGAAACTCAGTTATTCCCCAAAAGTGGCTTAACCCAGGGCCATCAATGGCCACGAAAGTCAGACAGAGCACCGTGAACACGCCACTGCTTCTTGGGGGTTAAGAGGAAGAAGACATGGGACGGCAGTCGAGGGCCGATCGTCTCCACCAAAGCAGTGAGGATCTTGAATGGCACTAAACCAGACTAGTGTATCGTCGCGAGAGCCGTGCGGAGCAATGCAGTGGTGCACGAGTCCTTTAGTCCACTCATGCAAGTTGCAACAAACAGTCTATTCAACGACCCAAACCCAACCAGACCAGCTTTGAGAGCACAATAAATTGGAATCGTGCGAACACTCCGAGGTCCCCAAATCACTACTAGTATTGAATGATAATTTTCCGCGAATTGAACCGAGAAGGTAATCAATTAAGTCAATGATGCTGTTCTGGGAAAGGAGATGGAAAGCCGTGACTCGAACTAATTCGTTAGTTGGAGAGTTAGTTCTCTGGGGTCAGAAGTGGCGGAAGTAGCAGCGGCCCAAACAGGTAAGGATGAGAAAGCGTCAAACTCGTAGCCCGCGGATGAAACCTCAAGATTTGCTTCTGAGGGCTATTTTCCTGCTGCTTCACACTCGTCATCGACCTGAAAAGTCGGCGTTGCGTACCAGGAATTGTGAAGATAGAAAACAAGCAATGATGACGGAGACTCGGAAGAGGAGGAAACAAAGAGGGGAAAAAGGAGGTGTGGCAGCCTCAAAGCCATGGAAGAATCCCGTGCATGAAGTGCCTCGACACCCGTGGAACAAGGCGAGAACACTAGGCAAGTTCCGGGATAGTCGAGCTGACGGGGCTGCCGCTAAGAGTCAGGAACACAGAACGCTAGACTAGATTGGGCACCGTTCCTGCTGCAAACCAACCTCGAACCCCCTTTTCCGATACATTGCCAATCCGCTTATCGTACTACTTCTGGTGTCTCTCGATTATGCTGTTACCCGCGAATTGTTGCCCCAGACTAGGTTTCTGATCCAAGTTCCCGGTTCCTCTGTCAGAGATATTAATACCCTCCAATGACTCGATCAATTGTCTGAGCCTGTTACATCGAAGGCTCAGTGACTGACGCCTTTCAGAACAGCACAGATAACAGGGGAATGGAGGAGCGGAGAAGTTGGCCTCCTGAGATGAACCACTGCTATCAACGGATTTAGCAGCGAGCGCATGATCCATCCCTTGATGGAGCCTTCCCACTTGTCGGTTCGCACCGTCAAATAGCCATTGGCTGATGCGCAGGACCCATTTGTGCAGAGCACATTAGTTCCACCCCCATATTAATCAGTGTGTCTAATGAAGTGCTCTTAATCGGTTAGTAAGCCGTAGTCTATGCGCTCCGAGCATCAATCTCAGACAGCGATGACGGGGACAGGAGACTGAATCGGACATAACAGTGCTCAGGCCGTGCCCACTCGACTCCGCAACAAATGAATATGGGTGGTTCTGCAGGTGTAGAAAAGGAAACATCGTCAACCGGGGTGTGTCCGCCGTGCAAGCAGTCAACTCTAACACTCTGTTCTGTCTTTCGAGTGTGAACGGGGCACCAGCCAAGACAGGACGACACGTACACTGCAGACAGCCGAGCGACAAGCAAGTAATCCTCTCGTTGGCTAGTACTTGATACTTGGTACTACTCCACCGCCCGAACAGTAGCAAGACAGTCACTGTCCCATTTTGGTTTATTGAGTAACACGATTTCGATTTAGTTATTAGAGGTGCCGTGTGAACCAACAAGGTGCTTGTAAGATCCCTTTATCAACGGATGGTCAATGTTGTACATCCGGGCAGCACGGTGAACAGCAACGTGCGATATTTTTTCGACCCAGATCCGGTGGGGGTGGCTGCAGTGTTGTGCAGCCGGTTGGGATCCGGGCTACCAGTTCCTACCCCTGCAGGTACTGTACCTACCGGCACGGCACTACGAGGTGCTGGCACTGGCAGGCTGCTTTATGTCTCGTCCATTTTCGTCCTGATTGGTAGGTTCTTCTTTCAACTCTCCTTCAAGTAACGTAGTGGCCTCAGGCCGCCGCCTCCTTTTCTTAGCTATACGTGAATTCGAATTGTGGGCATGTGAGATAGCAATGCCAATTGGTCGATCCTGGGGAAATATCGTGATTTGCAGGCAACTCAAGAACGGAAACCCCAGGTCAATCGAAATGATAGACCCGGTCGATCATCACATCAGTGAACCGATGCGGTATATTCCCTACCGTTATGCTTTTAGCAACGACTATCGCAATCTTGCTCGCTTTTGACTTTCAGCTCTAAGTAGCGGTGACTTACCGTGACGGTTACGCTGGCAACTTTAGATCCTGCTCGGGACAACCAGAGTGTAGATGGCGTGACCGAATAAGGAGGTACAAACTATTGTGAAGTTTCCCATGGGACGGCTTCTCGGCTAGTGCTTTGCGAGCAGTAATCGCGTTTTCTACTATCGTGCCATTGCTGCTACTAAGTACTTTGGCGTACCCAAGCAACAACTAAGGCGGAAGCTAGTGGAAATTGGTCTAACTTTCAAGATGATGTCATTATACCCCGTACAATGCCTCATGGCTCGTGAATCTACTGCAAGGTACTTTTTCTCCCTGCGTCACGCCGTCAATAAACCTACTGCATCCATCCGCGAGGTGGTCAATTCGACTGCCAAAATATGATCCCAGAAAGCCACAAAAAAAAAAAAAAATACAAGTTCTCTATCAAACACAACATGCTCACGTCTCTCTGGCCTTGTCTTTCTTGAAATCAAGTTCAATTCTCACCTTCCACAATACCAACACATGAGAATAGACACCCGAAACAAACACAGACCCATCATCTCGCCCTGGAACGAACCCCTCCAAACGAAAATCCCGATCTTCCATCTCAGAAGAGAAAAACCAAACTCCCTCCCGATTCCGCTCAATAAACAGCAATGATCATCCCGCACGGCCCCCCAAAGCGCCCATCATCATCCGGTCCCTCTTGGCAACATGACTCGTGCTGACTCTATACTCGTACGGATGGCAGTTTGAGGCTGAAGCCTACACCCTGTTACTTATATACGCACGTCTGCGTGAGTCCTACAAATAGCCCGTCTGAAGGGCATCTGGGCTTTTTGACTGAGCTTGATTCCAAATTTAGCATGTGTTGTGCTATGACGCTACTATTGTCTATCTCCCTCTGTTTCAGATACACCCCCTCGCTCTGCCTCGCCATCAGACACAGGAACTTAGAACGCAACAGATGTAGGATTCATACAGATCATGGGCTGTCACTACCACACGGAAGCTCGAGTATGAAGAATGTCAGCTGGTCCTTCTTCAACTACATCGTTTTCGACCCCGGATAGGGTTCGATAGCCGGTACGCTACGAAAAGCATGGAATTTCCTCAGCTGGTCACATTGGTCTTGAATTGATTGATTGATAACTAGACTCTGATGGAGACTTGTTGCGCTAATCGACGCTCCATCAGTACCTGCTATGGCATAGATCTCTGGTCTGGGGATCTAGAGGCTTTATTTATGCCGCAGCATCAACGATCCCCCGATGGTCTAGTTGGTTCATGGCGTTCGGCTGTAATGGAAATTGTAACCGAAAAGTCACCAGTTCGATTCTGGTTCGGGGGACTAATTTTTTGATAATTTTGCCGTGCTGTCCATCCAGTTTTTGGGCACACTCTTTTGCCCGCACTTAGATGATGGCGGGGAGCCTCATGCATTTAGAGACGGGCTGCTCGACGACTGGCATATTAACAAAGCACCGTGATTTGTGCTGTCATGCCAATGCCGGCGTTCTGTGGCTGCTGCTAAGATTAATATTCACTGATGTAGCTCATTTGCATCAACCAATCAGCAAAGCCCCCGATGGTCTAGTTGGTTCATGGCGTTCGGCTGTAATGGTATAATTGTGACCGAAAAGTCACCAGTTCGATTCTGGTTCGGGGGA